AGTGCTCGTCAACTTTTTTTCTTTAACGTCGTTCATGCAGATAAAGCGAGACAACACATCGCAGAGAAATACATTCACCTAGAAAACATAGTCGATCGAAGGACATATTTTGTCACATTCAACGTACTCGCGTGTACATCGATTGTAAACTGCTTTACTCAAAACAAACACAAAAAAAAAAAAAAATAGTTTTGCACGATATGATAATTTTTTTTGATATTTCTAATAACTTGAAATCATATGTAAAGTCGATTAAGTCAGCTACAGATTAATTAGATTATTTGGCAGACTATTTTTTTAGTCAAATCCTTGCAAAAATAAGAATTTACAATTAATATTGGAATACAAAACGGATATATAAATGCAAATCTAGAATTGTTCTAAAGCAAAACAAATATCTATATATAATAAAAAATCACTGCGTACCTTCGTATTTTAAATTTGCATACGATAAACATGTAACTATATACAATAAATATGAGAATTCTAAGAGATCTATAAATTATTCGTTGTTCAAGGGAGGAATTAAGAGGAAAATATATGCCCAATATATTTTACCATTTTCTTCTTCGATAGTGCACAATATTATTTTAATTTTTTTAAGACACATATAGACACGTTAAACATTCTATATGCAACGAAACACGCAATGGCTGTAAAAGTGATAAAATCTGATAAAAATTCATATTTCCACATACGTAGGTGACAATGCAATTTATATGTCACCGAAATGTAATATACATTCAACATAAATTACATATAATTGAGGGGGATGCAAGAAGACACAAAGAAAATTGAAATGCACTGGTTCGAAAACATATCTTTAAGCATCTGTGCGTGCATACGAACACGCATATGTACATAAACTTGTGTAAACGTGTAATAGTGCATATACACATGTTGGTTGTTTATGAGTAACAAAAAGCCAAAAGGTAAGATAACATAATAACTGGAAGGAAGGAAACACGTAAACCTTACAAATGGTGTGTAAGACCCGAAAGGAATGAATAAAACGGAACAAGACAAAGAAAAGAAACAGCATTTCCAAGGAAAAGGAAATATAGAGTTAAGAATAAAATAAAAGGAGACACAGGAAAGAAAGAAAAAATTGTGACAGATAAGCAAAACAGGCAAGAAAACTATCAATGGATAAACAATGTGTTTGATGACAAAAATTATATTTCTGATATTTGAAGATATTTCAACGTTAAATATACAAGATCTTTTCAAAGATCTAAATTCCATTAATATTTGGTCCTCGGTACATCGTGCAATTTTCTATCAAAATGGTATTAGTGTCTGAATTTTTTTGTGATCGACTGTATATATCTATATTCATATTTATTCAAATGGCAATAAAAGGGGATAGGTCCTCATTATTATTATTTTTTACTATAATCCACCAGTATGAGAATTGATTTTCGATAATTTCGATCTCAAAGACGCAGCACGTTCTGGAAGGCCAGTTGAGGCTAACGAACACCAAATAAAGGCACTGGTCGAAGCACATCGTCGCATAACAACACGGGAAATTGTTAAAAAATTGAGTTTACATAACTGAATAAAACTGAGTAAAAAGATCGTCTTCAATTCTCATACAAAAAAACGAAATTACATTCCAAACTACTCAATAGGCAAACTGCATCATCGAGTATCGTGTTTTTTAAAGCATCGTCCCAAACGATAGAATTTAAGTAGTTACACACTCCAGTGTAATCACCACGTTTGAAATCGTACTTATAGGTAACATTATTATTAGTAAACGTTGCGTAGAGTGATGGATGAACGTGCAATTGCATGGTTAAGGCAGGATAGTATAAATCACATTCGAGTAATGGATCGACGGATATAGATATCACAACGTCATTGATGTTAGAGAAACTCAAATCTAAGTAAGAGGCAAGAGAGTTCCGCGTATGGTTCATTTGGGCTAAACTGCAGAGACTAAGGTCGTTCACCAAATATTCGGGGGAAGACGCTGTCCCTCGAGTAAAATCGAATTCGAGTGGAATTTGACTACTCCACTTAACACAGGACTGGTTGAAGTCACGCGATATAAATACGTAATTGCTAAAATACAGGTCAACAATCTCGATAATACTATTGGAAAAATCTGAGTATAGGGAGAGTGGCTATAGACAAGAATAACGAGAGAAAAAGAGCAATGGAAAATGACAGTCATTGAAAATTAGGGTAATATATACCCAAACATAAATATAATTGTACACCAACACATACGAGTTACGATGTCAACAAAGTCGAGAGAACAAAGACGAGTTACTGGAAAAAAGAGTTAAAAGGAAAAGAGCAGAAAAACTGAGTATTTAATGGCTTGTGATCGCGTCAACTAATTGGATCAGAAATACCATTGATATACAGGTATATCAGAACATAGTGCAGACATCCAGAAGGTGTTATCACCATATTGGCGGGGTAAAATGTATATATAGTTTGAGCACTGAATAGCAATCGTGACAATAATACGTTAATAAACAGTCGTGAACTACCTACTAGTTCAGACGAAACTAATTTCATCTGCCAAATCTTTTAATCCACATGAAAATCGATAATTTTTAATTGCGCAAGATGTAATCAGATTAGTCAGAGAGATTTACGATTTAACTGGAAACAATTTGACCTAAGTGCTCCACGTAAAGATTTTTGTCACTGATCCGGCATTTATGGAATGCGTAAAATCCGTTTCTACCGCAACGACAACAATTGTCGTGGATCAATCAGCAAATTTAGTCGCAAGTAAAGTACTAGCGGGATATCGCATGTGCACACGTATCTTTCGTTGGCTATCGCACGGTGAATCCACTGGGAGGACGTTTTACGATCGTCATTTCACCCCAACCACTAATCCTAACTTCCAACTCATCTAAACTCTACGTTCACCCCTGCAACGTCCCTATTTTCTCAAGTCAATAGTTAAGAACATTTGCTGTCCTGTCTTAATTACATATATGCATTCACCTATTTAAGTGACAAATATCGTAATGGATTCTAACCAAACTTTGTGATAATTTGAAAATTCTGTATGTGATCAATGTATTTTGTGGATTTTTATACATTGTATGAATTAAATTTCATACACACTTACAAGGTAAGGTATTCGTTATAATATTTAGTAAGCAAAACAAATTTTTGCCTACGTTTCATTTAATTTATTATCTACTGATAAACAAAAGTACATAGCAGGGATTTTCGTATAAAATTCTTTGTAAATCTATATATTTATATATAAATTTATATAAACAAACACACAGCCTATATTGTTAGACAATGGATAATTTTTAGTACACCGCACTATACGATCAATTTAGTGATCAAGTATACTCTTATGATTTCATATGAAAAAGCGTATCCGAGGAAAATCAATATTTTCATAAAATTAATTTGAAAAATAACAATACTGCAAAAAGCGTGTGTTAATTAGATAGACTTAGTTAAAGAATAAGAATCAGGATTTATGTAGGAATTTGTAACGATATTTATCTATTTAATAGTAGAAAAACAGTGGCTCGCATGTCCATAAACTAAGAGAAAGATATATAAAATATTTTATTTCACATTGAACGATTGCTATAAGCGCTTTGGTTAAGTACATATCTATAAAGCGAGAACGCTAGAACGAATAGAGGCATCGTTTATATAAAACGAAGGAAAGAAGGATATCAAATATAAAGCTGATATATATATATATATATATATATATATATATATATATACACATATATATCAAGTCGTTTTTGTACGGCAAGATTCGTTTTATGACTTGCAGCTTGTTTGCGACCACATTCGCACGTACATACTCTGTTTCCAGACTTACAATCTTAATATCATCGCTAAATAATATATAAAGTTGCGTGAAGCGTATCATTAAAATGCATGTCACGTCTATCGTGATAGATTTGAACGCTGAAAGGGAAATTCATTATTTGCGTTACAAGATGTGGAATACTGCAATATCTATGTATATTGCTTATAATATATAAACAAAAATATTATGTACAGTGTATCTTTTCACACAAAATTAAAATATTTATAAATATTTTTAAATAGAAATATTCTTTTGATTGAAAGAGAAAATTTATATAAAAACTATATTTTACGATTTACAAATTATTTTAGAATATTTCTGGTTCTTTTGCAAAACAAAATGAATAGCTAATATTTAGGAAATCAAGTTTTATTGCGTCACAGGAATGTTATTATCCCAAGCTATGAATATTCCCTGTGTGAATAGAAGTAGCAAATTATAATATTTAACCTTTTCCTTGACTTCAGCTGTATTTATTTCGACCGTTGATACATTGCAACGTTTCAAAACACACAAAGATGTACAGCAGTTGTAAGAAGTTAATGTATTGCATAATTAAATTAATCTTACATTTATGGGGTTAGGTTGGTTATGGGGTTAGTAATTATATTGTTACTCACTCAGGCGAAGATTATCAACTGCACAGGTTACTTCACATTGGCTTCACGTAATTACATTTGATTTATTAATAAACTACATTTATGATATTATCGAAAAATCCATCTTTCTCCTATCGTGTGACTTAACATACTATAATACTTGAAATTTTATTCTACGCACCATATTAACAAAATTTGCTGCGATACTAATCGAAGTTGATCTCGATGGTGTTCGATAAATCATCGAGTTCGTTTGCTGCCGATAAATGATGCATTTAAAGACGCAACACTCTTCGCGCGCAAACGAACTTCTTACTTCTTACCGACGACACATGCTTTTGTGCACGTGCGTCAGTCAGATAGATTCAATCGTAAAAACTTGACGTTCATCTAAACCCGCGTGCCACCTCCATTTATCCAACCACCACTCTCCAACGAAAGACCTCTCGCTCTCCTGAGAGCCGAGTGCCCAACTTGCCTCCTCCCAGTGCCAGAGACGTGCCCCCTCCTAGCCGGTACCCGCGGGCTACCATGCACCTCGTCGGCGTGCCGCTGCTACCAGCACTCTTAGTGAGTTACGGGCCGCATGCAAGTGCGCATTAAATGTGTCGGTAGTGTGTCGTATTCGTTCCACTCGCACTTTTCCACGTTTCATCATCTAGATTCTTCTCTCAGTATATTACCAAACCATCGCTTTTCATTCGAACGTATTCCACCCGATGGAGCTACGTCAGCCGGATACTCGGCATGCTTCTTCACGCTCCTGCACGCTGTTGTGCGATGTATCGTGATATTTCTTCGCTATAGTGTTAGAAAGCTTTCCAAGAAGAGAAAGGGATTCGCATAGAGCAATACGGTCAATTTTCTATACAGACTCGTAGTCTTGTATTTTGACGGACATCATCGACGAAAAAAGATAAAACAAGAATCAATTGTAATGTATTCCAATGAAGGGAACTGCCGCTTCTCATTACATGAGGGGGAGAAGCAGAAGTAGGAGGAGAATAGAATAACACACGGGCATGAGAAAGACGACGGTACGGGACGAGACACTTGAAGTGCGCGGCGCGCAGGCGGAAGTTCGACGTGCGTTGTTATGTTTTTTGCGGAACTAGATGTGCGACGTTGTTATTTGCCACGGATTTTTCGATCTGTCGTTTTCATTTCAAAACTAGTGCGTGGTGTTAATGAGATCATGATCTTTGATTGAATTGTCTTTATCAATCGTTCGAATCAAGACAGAGAGAGAGAGAGAGAGATAATATGAAAAGACTGAGCAGTGCAACAGGCCAGCGAGACAGTGTAATAGAAACAATTAGAAAATAACAGAAGGTGACAGAAAGAAGGAAAGAATATTTGCCAACGAACCGGTGATTGCTATCGTATTACGTAGTTTTGCGTTTGTGTTGTTAATAGCAATGTGCATGCGTTGACGTGTACGTGTACGAAAAAGACAAGACGGAATATAGAAACATGTCGGTCTGCTGCGCGCGCATGTGATTGTTCTCCCGCGAAAATGCAATACAAGGTTAGTACTCATCGTATGGTATCAACTAGTATACGTATTTTTATAGAACGTGTGTAACGCGTTATTTTATCGAAAAAACTATGTCATTCGGTGGACACATAAAATTATAATTCAAGGTTATGTGTAACATAGTGTTTTCCTGACGGTTGTGGTTTTATACTTCAAGCATCAGCGTTCATTGGTTGCCAAGAACTTGAGAGTATAACAAACAATCTCGTCAGAAGCAAATTTTTACTTCGATAACATTAGGTAAGATCACGGTATTTTGTATTTCTTTTTGATTTGCTTTTGGTTTCTTTTTATTCCAGTGAAGCGTTGATCGTATCTCAAAGTAGCTATCAATTTCATGGCCGTTCATTTAGGCGTGCCGCTAAATTATTAGTTTCTGTATACGGTGGCTGAGTTAAAGTCTTTATACATATTTTGTACATGTAGCCAGATGCGTCTGAGTTGGTAATAACTTTCCCACGAATAATGCATCGCAACTATTCGTTTTCCCTTGCGCTATTGCAAAGTTTTGAAAAGGAGACACGACTGCAATATTATTGTAGCTATGTACACATATTCAAATAGATTCTTTAAATGCTTCATGTGCTATATACACTTCATGATACGTAAGAAAATTAGGGAAAATTATCATTTACGTCATATAGTAGTGTTCTACATACATATAATTCTGCATTCTATTCGTAATTGTAGTTTCAAGAAATTTGACGATTAACTTAAACGTATACTATCCGTAACAAAATTATAAAACATGTTTTGTGTTTCTTGGTCTGTTATTTACTAAAAATTGTTGGTTAGCGCTGCTCGGTGTAATAAAGTGACTAAAAAATCAGAATGAACAAGTTACAATATAATTATTCTTTTGCCGACAAAATTTTTTGTGTTTCTAACACCAGATACAACTTTTTCAGCTTATTAATAACATTAATAACATAATAACATTTGTAACGCGAAATTGATAGTGCTATATTTGTCAGCTTATCTGAATGTTTTGAGTTTTATACTACGGAAGAGTTGATTATTAAATACATAAACTAGCTTTAAAGGAGATTTAAAGCATTTAGTACATCGCATCATAAAATTATCAAAATTATCAAAGATACATCTTTTCGGAAGACATAGCGTACAGCCAGGTGTCTCACGTTAAATACATATGTATGAACTCTCAGAAAGATATCGAAATGGAAATAAAACGCTAAGTCGGAAACTATTTGTAATTATTTTACAATTTTAAATAATATCTATTTTCCAGCTGAAATTTTTACAAACAAAAAAATCATTTCTAAAAATTCTAATTACGCTTTGATAATTTTGCAACGCTATGCAATTATGTAACGATATTTATTAACATCATAGATCATATATCAGAGTGTTTTTACAGAACTACTTTGCTATCAGTTAACGTATTTAGTACAAAAATATCTCGATACTACTTTTTACATAATACTATCTATCATCAAAAGTGTTTTTTACACTTGCCACTAATATATTCTTATTTACAATTACAAAAATCTTATGCTGCTTTATATAATCGAATTATAAATACAGTTGACCTTTGACCGATCACTCACAAATCGATCTATTCAACTTGTCTAAACTTTTTATCATGACAAATAATGAGATTGAAAGAAAATGAAAAGGCCTGTATTATTCACAGACTATTAATTGTAGTCAATTTAGCAGTTATGTTATTAAGTGATAAAAAATAAGAAAAAGATGCAAGAAAGAAATAGACAAATGAAGAATATTGAAAGATATCTTTCATTTATTATCGTAATCTTCAAAACTATCTGTATTCTTAGCCATTTAATGAGTAAATAGTACAAGTAATGTGTGTTTTCTCTTCTTTATTACTTTCAAGCAGATTTCTTTTTTAATTATGGGAAATATTTTGTGTTTAACTAATTACTAATGATATTAATAGATAATTAAAAGCAGATATAATGTTAAAATTTAGGAGTAGTTTCACCAAAGATAAACACACTTATCGTTCAGTCAGGTAATAAAGTTTAAAAGACAATACTATGTATTGTTTATACCCAACGTTGTGTATAAAAGTTAATTTGTTTAATGATGCTTTTTTTTTAATTTACTTTGCTGTAAGTACACAATATTTTATTAATAGCATAGAAACTAATGCCTGTGATAAATAATAGATTATTGTAGATTCATTTTTAAGGAGTAAAAAGCTACAGACGAGCAGTCGTCACGTATTTGAATCCCGCATTATTCAAAAGTTAAATATAGTTTTCAATGTTTTGAATATCTTGTGATTGTGTGTCGAATGTAATAAATATGTGTATGTTAGTTATTATAAATTTTAGATACATAGGTTTATGTTGCATTACAATATAGACGGCTAATGAATGTATGTATATCAAAAAATGTATCGCACTAACTGTAGTATATCACTTTTGTATGTTTGTCATCCTATTTTATCCATATTTGTTAACCATATTTGTTAACCTAGTTTGTTATCCATATTTGTTAAGCCATTGACCGAATCATCCTTTAACTAGAAATTTCTGATGAAAATCTCTTTCAAACAGTTACAAAACTAAAAGTTAATAAAAATAAATCTGTTTTAGTTAACAAAAGCGAATGTTTGTTTCACCATTAAATATTATAACGATTATAATGTACGTATTTCGAATATCTTATATATTACATAGATAAATATAGATAACTCATTTACCTCGGTTAATAGGTTAAACCGGGAGAAAATATTTCCTGATAAACATTTTTGCCCTATTGTTCGTATCGTATCATCCCTTACTAAACGCTGTTGGAGCGTAGCTAAGTTGGAAGAGAGCAGGGACGATTAATCATGGTCTTGCCGAAACGAAGCGAGAATCTGCTGAATGTATACCTAACATGGCGCAACATGTATTTCTTGCCTCTGAGAGTGCGGTTTTTCGATAGAGTGAATCTTCACGGTGAAGATTCATTGAGAAACAAAAAGAAAGAAGAACCGAAAGAATTAAACTGGTGGATATATAAAAGAACAAAACGAACGAATGAAGTATTCGATACGCGTTTCGTTCGAAATTGGCCGATACGGCTTGATATTGCAGAAAGAATCAAAGAGGAGCAAAGGCAGTCGATAAGAAGATTGCGACGTCACTTAAATAAATTTCTGCTAGTGGTTTTTGATATTGTATGATATATCCAAATCGCATGATAACGATAAAGTAAAAAAAAAAGAACCGATAAGTAAAAAATCGTAAATACAATTGAAGGAGCATTTTCTTTTTTGACAATTTTATAATTTTTCGTCAGATTGAACAATCGAATAATTTATAATTTGTAAACATTACTCGTAAAGTCTCATTTCTTTTATTAACAAACTTGTTATCGCTATGCAAAGATATTTATTAATACTAACAATTAGTGACTTGTAAAATTTCGCTAACAATACTGATTGAATTGTGCAAGACAGCCCTGACCGTGTAAAAATATACCTTTTCTATTGTCACTTAATTGTCGATGAAGTAAAAGTAGTTTTTTTTAAATATAAGATTCTATTTTGATTCGAAATTGTACTTCAGAAAAATGTAAATAATGTTGGTTGATACAGTAGAATTTCTCTCTTTATTTATCTGAACGATTTTGATTTTAATTAATGCCCGGTTTACTGAACTACCGATTAAATTTATTTATCTGAGCATAAATACCTATTGAACGAATAATCATAGTTATTTTCTGTAAAATCGTTGTTTCTCATTCAATAAACATTCAAAGAGGATACAAATAATGAAAAGCTGTAGTTATACATTTATTTTATATTAATAAATTTTTAATATCATATTCTTGTAGTCAAGGATATCTCAGAACACAGTCTGTTATCAGAACTGTTTTTTTATGACTCTTGCAAGTAATTTCTACAGATATTTATAGTGTGTTTTAATAGTGATAAATCACATTTTAAGACAAAATCTGGTAAAATCAGTCTTCATATTTTTGAACAAATATATATATATACATACTTTTACGTGATTGTCGCGACGTGTACCAACAAGAAACATAGTTGGCGTTGGAGAAGACATTGTTTATTTTGTGACCGTTGCAGAACCGCGAAGAAGGTTACTCGTTTGTTTCCTTTTATTGGGCTGGATCACCGCCGGCACCTTTGATGCTGGTACCCGAATTATGTATCATTTCTATGAAAATGGAAAGGTTATAACTACGAAGAAGCCAGAGAAAGAGGAAAGAAATAAAACGGTAGTTCTGTGACACTTTATGTTTCCGGATTCTTGTTTTACCGGTCTATTAAAATATAATGTTATTTTCTCCGAAAAACGTTACATGTTAAGGCTTCTTTGTTATCTGAAAGAAATTGTAACGAGTTCGTGCAAAATGTTTATACTATGTCCAATGTTAATGGACAAAATTCAACCAGATAAGATACTCGCGGTATAAGATATTAAAATTCTTTATTACCTTATTTTGTTCTTGCTCCTATTTGATACTCGCTACTTTACGCTTCTTTTATGTTATTTTTACTAACCGTTCCACTGCGACTAACCGTTCCACTGCGCTTCCTGTCGCATTGTTTTTTAATAGCAATAATTGTAGGTAAGAAAATACGTTCCAAAGTATGACGATTATAAACGCATGAAAAATATGTGCACGGACAATTGAGGGAGATCTTGAACTAAAGTGGAGTATGTACCTTAGTGTATAGATACATATATGAATTTAATTGTAATTCTAATTTAATTTATCAATTTATTATTATAATTCTTTTAATGGAAACAATAAAGAATAAAATAAGAAGAAATAAAAAATTAGCCTTTGACTTTTACAGACAGGTATAAAATTTAATGTGACGTTTACTATATTGTGTAAATTAACGAATAAAATGTCTTTATTAGTGGAACACTCCAATGCTAAATATTTTAGAATACCTGATTTTCTGAAATCGAAGCACTTATGCAACTGAATTGAAAGTTTTCACTCTTAAATATGGAAGTAGACTAACGTTTATGTATACAAGATACAAGCAGTTATCGATCCATATGTGTATCGTGGAAACCGAGACTAGCATGTATTTTGTAACTTTGTTCAATGCGATAAGATAACTTTTTTTAACGATTCCACTATTGATAAAGATTTTTGCAAACGTTATTTGTAGTCATCGAATCACAGATAAATAGAAATTTTCGAAATTATTTCATAAATCAGCATAATCCATTATCACTATCCACCAGCATTTCGCAAAGTACTTCGTACAATATTAATTATAAATAAAATAAAGAATTTCAGTCCATAATTATCGTTTAGAAGATTCTGCCATTTTCTTTGAAATACAATATATTTTCCTTTAAAAAATCATTGGTCCTTTTTGCTTTTTAATACTAATCTAGGTAATGTACCAGTTTTAAAAGAAATTACGCAATACAAAATGTTATATTACATAATACAATTTTATCGTTATATTAAATGTGATTTTAGCTTACTAATAATATAATTTGCAGTTAATTCACAGTTAATAATATTCTGATTTCAATATAATCCATGATAGCTACCTATTTATGTAATAGTTCAATTTATAATATATAATAGTTCTATTTATAATTATACAATTAGTACAAATGCAACGAACTCTAAAAAAGCTACAAGGCCCAAGACCAACTATGTGCTATATGTATCAATGGAATTATATATGTACATTACATATGAAAAATATAGTTTAAAACTATAAAGTTCATGTTTCCTTTACATTAGAATAAAGCAAATTTACCAAAGAACTAAAATTAAATAAGAATTTATTTATTAAAGCAGACCTGAATTTTATATTTTTAAATTCTTTACGATGCATCTGACGATACATCTGAAAACATTTCCGAGACGCATTATCATTCGGTCAGAATAAAACTGAAAGCGACTTACTTGACTTTATTAACATCTAATATCGTTGTGGCCTTCACCATTTCATCCGATGATTTTTTTTATATAGGACAATTTATAATCGTATATTAGACTGTATGTTAGATACTTTGCGGTTAATAATTTACCTGTACCTCCCGTGTAAGTTTCCAGCTCCCGGTTTGTACATGCCGTACTTTTTCAACGAGTAAACTAACTGCTTAATTGAATTCTGTAAATCTTGGTTTTCCTCGATACGCGAATAACGGGTCAGACTCGAAATATTCTCTGGTCACTGGGCGATCGGAGCTGACGCGCTGATTTCCAACGACTGCACGTTGCCAGTCGAATTCGTCGCCAAGCTCTTCTTCGTTGCCGCCGTTGGTATCTTTTTTCACAATAAATCAATTTTTTTATTGCACTATCACTCATCCTCGTACTATCGAATCGTCTAAAGTCGTCGTGCTCGTGAAAGACGCCTTTAACGAAATTAGGAAACTACCAAAACTCAAATGCTCCTGCTTCGGTCAATAGAAGAACCAGAAATAAAATAAACGTGCCACTCGTTCGTGGGTTTAACGTACCTTAGTACGTACTATGAGTACTTAAATTGATCAATGCTGAATCCTACGACGACGGACTAGTAGTGCTTGTTGATTGGCTATGCTTCAGGATTATAATGTGTATCCTGTGAATGATTACTATGCAAAAGTCTGTGGCAATAATAGCAACAACGAAAACTTGCACAATCTCTTTTCTGTAGATCTTTCTGTAGATTTTTAGCTCGGATGTAGTCAGAGTTACGTTCTATAGACACGAAAAAAGAAACTACTTGTGGGAAACTGTTATGCTATGTAGTTACACATTGTTCGTAATATATGTAGGCATATATGTACATACAGGTCATATATGCTTAATATTCAATAGGTTCCAGATTTCAGCCGAAATTTCTGTTAAAGCCGCTGCTACATCCTCTCTAAATACATACTTGATAATACTTTTGTTTGGTTGTATAGCATTAGCACTAGTTCCATTTCCTATTGTATCTTTTCGATAAACCACCGTCTGCCGTTTCTATTAACCATTCATAAATTCTGGCAGGAAGCTTTTATTATGCAAGCATCGAACTTCGCGTTTAGCTTTTCTGTATCTTGACATTCATGCTATTTTTTCTTGTCGATGCTACTGTTTATCTCTTGATACATGTTTCTTTCTTTAAAACGAATTTTCTCATTTTTTTTTGTTTTTAAACGAACAGCGAAATTACTGTATATAGACGATGTCAGTTCTCAATGTTATAATAATGTAATATCAATTAATGGAAGTTTTCAGGATACTTTTTCATATGGTATATATTATTAAACAGAAATAATAATAATTAAAGACAAATACCAACGTTCAGACATAAAAGAAGTACCATGTGTTTAATGTGGCGACATTTGATTAGACAGTTCGGTTGTATAGCCTATCGGAATTTTTATCATTACTAGGTATTTCAGTGAAAGGTAAAGTTGTTCAATTAAGCGGTCTTTCGTCTAGCTGGAAGTAAATGCATTGGTACAATTAAAAAAATATTTCTAGATAACACTATCTACCATCATCTCAATTGACGAAGTTTGAACCGCGACCTTTTGGGTCGTCAATTGAGTAGACTTAACGTAAATAATCAATGTAATGCAATGACATTGATGCGACGAATAAATTCCATGTATAGATATAATTGAACGAGATTGTTATTATAATCTTTTATAATATTTCATACATTTTGTATTATATATAACATTTTATAAATGCCACTATCACTGTATTTTTAAAATAAAGTAATCCTTTACGTAATACATGTATCGATCGTGGAAAACGTCACAACCTTTCGGATCTTTTTATTCTAAAAGATATATTCTCTCTTTTTCGGTATAACTCCTAGTAGCTCTCGTAGATAGTGAAACATTAATTTGATTATTTGTGGCACGATCTCACTTACTTATCTACAAAAATCCTGTCTTTTTTCATGTTGCAGAATGTGAAACTCGAATTGGATAGGAACGTACGGTACCGAGGATCGATTCTCCGCACCTCGAACGAATGATACATGTAATGTACATCCTTTCGACAAGCATAAAATATTAGAAGATTAACGAATCGACAGCCTAGCGTAGAGCTGTACTTGGAGCATCTCTTCGAAATTATTCTTTGTGACGAGAAGACTTCGAATCGAGGTCACTTATGTACCGTGAAGAGAACGAGCAAAACAGAACCGCAAACCTGGTTCCCCAGCAGTCAAATGGTGCAAACACGTTTGAGCATCTGGAACATTCGCAGGACAGCATGGAAAACGGGGACGAGGTGGTTTCCACACGAGTCCAAACGGACGCATCGTCGTCCACCAACAGCACGCCAAGACCACGTGCACCACGAAATTGTGCCCGATGTCGCAATCATCGGCTGAAGATCACTCTAAAATCGCACAAGAGGTACTGCAAGTATCGTTATTGTAACTGTGAGAAGTGCAAGATCACAGCCGATCGGCAACGAGTGATGGCGCAGCAGACGAAGCTAAGAAGACAACTGGCGCAGGACGAAGTCAAAGTCAGAGCGGCAGAAGAGGTTAGTCTTTTTCTTTTTCTTTGTAAGTACACTGGCGAGCATATAGATAGCAATATTTTGTTTTCATAATTCGTATAAAATATGTACCGTTTATTCCTAAAGTAATATTATTACACTATAAAGTAAAATATTTGCAAAGCTGTAATAACTAGTCAAATAATAAGAAGTGTTGTAGGTAAAAACATATCTGAAATGTATGAATAAAAAATTATTCGCTTTCTTGTTAGAAAGTATTTACTTACACCTATTTATATGCTTGCTAAGTATCTTTGTGAAAATATTTTGTTACTCATATTAGTGAGATGCTTTTATTTTTTTGAGATTTTTTTAACATAGATAGTTTTTGAATACTTTATGAATTCTATGAATATCTCTTCTATGAATTTTATGCTATGTATACTATGAAAATATCTCTTTTCTAAATTTTACGAATTCTATGAGTATTCATCAATATTTGTGTATCTGTACAAATTAATTGAATATCTATACAAATTAAGATAAAATGCAGTCAATTCTTCTTAGATAGAATTATGTATTTGATATTCATGAGTTCTGTTCAGTTTAGAGTCAAAATGTATTTAATGGCTCTGATCGGAATTTCAAAATCTATAGGTTTCCTATTGTCTTTATAATTTTGTATTATTGCAGTAGATTTAGGATTTTAGATCTTTCACTACGCAGAATTGTATCGATATCCATATATTTCAATATTTTGTGTGTTATTAAATTGTAGAAATTGAAGAAGACGAAAGTTTGGAGATCATATGAAACAGTAGGTACATTTTTAATTTACATATTAGAAATACATACAGAATTTAAAATTTACGATATTATTTAAGATATAAAAACATCAATTTTTTATGTCTGCTTTCTACAATATAATAAACAGTATGTACTTGGTAACAATGTAAATTGAATGTTATACATATATCTATACATGCAATATATTTTATTTACTTAGTATGTGAATATATCAATTAACCACTATACATATAAGAAAACATATATAGTTGTAACTATGGTAAAATTAATTGGAGCTTCATTAATATCATCTAATTGATTGTAGTATATATAACACTAGAAATAAAAGTTTCATGCGATGTTTTATAATATTTGAATGAAGGTGGAATTTTCATTCAATCACGTATAAAAACACAACTTTAATTCATATATAAATAACAACTATTTTTTAGAAAATTTACTTTAGAGATATTAACTAATACGTAATTTGGGTCTTTCTCTATTAAAAAGATTGCACAAAGTGACAAACTTTTACAACAAATTTAAACAATTTAAAGGAAATTGAAGAAAAGTATTTTTTAATTTTCCTAATCAAAATTAATCATTTTTATCGATAATTTTGTAAGTAGCTGTATTTATATATATATTTCCGTGTTTTCATCTTGCTCCATATACAATAACATTCAAGATTCCGCGTTCCATTTGAAATTGATGAATAGAAGGTATCGTTACTTCATATTCTCGTTTCACTTTTCCCGCCCAGACGTTCTAACTGTCATCACGTCTGACAAAGAGAGTAGGCCAGATTGTATAAATCTCACGGGACATGCATGCCTTTCAGAAATAAATCATCTGATTAAGGAGTACATTATTGGTCTGAACCTTTGAATCGCTGATACCGTAATTGCACGAACAGAATTGCGAGAGGCTATGATTATTTCGTATATCTTCCCGCTCTTAACACCTGGTTAGGATACTTGTAATATAAGGAAAATTGCTATTATGTTTCCTGTATAGCTCTCAGCTGCTATAATTTCAAACAAGTCGCCTGTATCTTGTCAATCCTCGATCGTAATTGATCTTTCCTTAACAGGTGGATCCACTGCCATTTGGTGCAGAAAACGATCGAGTTTCGTCTATTCCTCAGCCAGCTATAAGTATCGAGGGTAGTTACGATAGCAGCAGTGGCGATTCACCGGTCAGCAGTCACGGTAGCAACGGCATACACACTGGTTTTGGTGGTGTCATCAGTATTCCTCCTTCCAGAAAATTACCGCCGATGCACCCCCATACCGCAACGATCTCCCACTTGCCGCAGTCGCTAACCAGTGAGTAGTAATAATCTTCCTACTATTATTCTATCTTTTGAGCATGCATATCGCTATTACGTACAATGAATCAGTTTCTAATATTGTGTATATTGTATTAATGATGTCAATGTATTTTGCTATAAACTTGCTTTCAAATAGAATATGCTTAGAACGATGTGCATAGAATTTGATATCAGACATTTATAGAGGTGACTACATAGCAAAATATTACTGCAATATATTTTACTAAGAATAAACTGCATTTTTAGTTTTTTGTGTAATAAAACCGCAAACTTCTTTAATGAAGCTTTAAAAGTTTCATTAAATATCACGCAAGCGCGTAATAATCAAGGACTATTGTTTGAGAAGCTCGTTTCGCTAATTCATTCGTTCTTCAACATCTTCCGAATCACAGAACATAAATTACCATTAAAATTTGAAAGCATCCATTAACACAATATTTACAATACGGGATCGTAGTATGGTTCACCCTCCATTTGCATTACTAGGTCATTCTCGAGCAGTAATTTTAAATAATTTTCCATTGTTTCTATATTTTTGTTTAAATTTCGCTCTGCTTAAGAAAAATAAGGTAACACGAAGGAATAAAAAACTATTGGATGATATTCTAGAAACTTGAAAAAATATTTAAGAATTTTTTGGGATTTTTAAAACGTAAAATCCTAAAAGAGACTGCATGGACTTAAACGAACCAGTATGCAGATGATGTCAGTAAAAATAAGATTACAGACGGAGGGGATGGGTATGGAAAGGATACATTTAATACGCATGCTCATAACCTATTTACTTCGATATACTTGCCTGTTGATAAATATACATGTAATGTGTACGTAGATATGTACACATTGAAAACTGGGATTACCTACCTGTTGCTTGCGTTGACTTTCAGCTATGACTTTGAGCTCCCCTCTGCTTCACCTATGAAACTCACCCTCCATACATAGAGCAATTAGTTTCTATTGTTTTCATTATCTCGAGCTCAATAATAAGATCGGGAGCATTACTATTATACGTACTATCACACATCTCGTTTCATGAAACGTAAAATTTGTTTATATACATTAGTATACATTATATTGAAAGTGATGGATTTCAATCCCATTAAATTATTCCAAATTCCATTTAACACATTAGCGCAGTACTGGTTTAAATTGTATGCGTTGTTTTGTTTGTTTCGAGTTTCTTTAAATCTCTTACATTAAAATAAAAATAAAAGTCCCTTAATACATTTTTTATACGGTTTTGATTACTCTGCTGTGCTTCGAATAATTTCCTTAATCGCGATAGCGTTTTACGAATACTTAAATTATATTCAAAACTGAAACGATCATTCTCTTGACAAATTGCATAGAAGTCGAAATTTCGTTGATAAATTATTAGCCGTAGGTTATTTTAAAGTTGTTATAAATCAAACTGTTTCTGCGTATTTTAAGACGTACATGTATACCGACCGCTTATATTATTGCTAATTGTATCCTCGTGTTCATTAATTGCGTGGCTGTTGATTAATTTGGTTTTCAGTCTGACTTTCCAAATATTCGTAATTCTAACCTGATAAGTAAAATCTATTTTTGGGTAAAGGAGAGATAATTGGATAAATGAACCGAATCATAAATTTAATTTGCATTTTATGTTTGATATATTTTTATCTATATATTTATTATATCGTTATATCTATTTTATTGATCCGAATTACATTTAAAATAAATCTGATTGTTTTGTAAAAGATATTACGAAGAAGTAATGAAGACATTTTATTACTTGAGAGGATGCATAAAGTGTGTGAATCGTTTACTGGTTAAAGAGCAATTGGTACTTTCTCGTTGCTACTTTCACATATTTGTATCGCGTGCTTTTGATAGATAATCTTATTTCGCTTAAAACAGTGTACGTACATACTACTTATAAAGTATAAATGTTCAGATAGTTTGAAGCTACTACAATTGAAAACAATCTCAACTACTTTCTTTCATCTCGCAGTTCCAACGTGTCAATCTTTAACCATTGGAAACTAGCGCTAAAACGAAATAATTATAAAAAATTAACGACTAGATAAGAAGACCTCCCCTGTTGGAAGACTTTGAAACAAAGACCAGTATTCAGTAGTCGTTGTCAGAAGACTATTACTTAGCTGTGTATGCATATACGAGATATTATATCGATTGCAATTACCGTATAAAATATTATTTGAAGACGTTCAGTTAATGAAAGATCATTATTCTTCTCGAACACAATTCGACCACTATATTCCACTTCCTCGAATCGAACGTTTGTTACTGATTACCTATAGCTTTCGCGTCTTACGACTTTGACCGACGTCATCTTAACGACGAGAGACATAAAACGGACCAACTGGAGGAAGAATATTCTTATGGACCGAATCTTCAACGACGTAACTTCAAACAGACTACTATTAACTCCGTTTTACAAATGAACAAGCTTTTAGAGCGCAAATTTCAGATAGAGTAATCGATGTGTCTGAGTTTATAAATTGAACGGTTCATAACGCAAACGATTCTTGTCTATGTTTGATTGTAAAAGAAAAATAACGTTTTGTAGTATCTTTAATCTTTCTTCGATAGGTTTCACTATTGATGAGTTCGCGCCAATAAAGAGACCCAAAAGAAACTCCAATATTTAAATACACTTTCTGTAGATAATTTATTATAATATCGACTTGCACCATGTTGCGAGTCTTCTTTCTGAATACTAGAATAGTTTTTTTTTATAGAAGATCGAAAAATTTGGCAAGAGCCGTGTTCATTGAAATACGATTCTCTTTAATTGTTAACGAGCTTTTCTAACGTGTTGTAACAAAATTATAACACGCGTCCTTCCACGCATATGTGATAATTTTTAAGTAACGATGTTAGAAAGTTGAGAAATTTATGATCGAAAGCGATCTTCGATTCGGAGATTCGGTAGCTCTAATTTGAACAAAAGCCTCGGAACGCTGGGTATAACCGAACGAACGTACTTATAACGTCGTTCACAGTGATCCCAACGAAATTCAAGCCACTCTTTCACTTGACAACCCGACCGAATGTTAACCCTGGGTTTACGAGCGTCCCCATTGGATGGTGAGTCGTTCGAAGCCGGCTAATATAATACGAACTTATAACCAAAGCCGAAACCTGGGAGCTCGCTCTTGCTTTTACGATCTGGCTCGTTTTTAAAAGTTATCGTTATTTTGCTCGCTTTCGGATGAAATAGTTTGTTCACGGACGTAAACGGTTCGAAGGAGGCTAAAGTCTGCGTGCGGACAAACCACACTAAAGTCGAATTGACGCGCCACCGGCTTGTTCCGATCTGTCTAGACGGATCTCAGCACGCGTCCCCTCACAATATCTCAACGAGATAATGCATGGACATGATGCTAAAATTTTTTACGAGTTTGAAACAACAATCAGCCACTCGTAACTAAATTATTTCCTTTCAATGTTGTACGTTCGTTCATTCGTGAAGAAACTCCGATGTATGTTTTCTTTACCTGTGTACATATATCGATACTGCGTTCTGTTTTAATTCAGCTACCGATGGTAGCCAAACAAAACTAATGGCCAATTTTGTTTCAGTAACGTTGTTTTGCTTATCGAGCTACGTTCTGATAAAATGAAATGAATCCTTATTAGAAATAAATTCAAAATACGGGCTTGATCGATATCGCATTGATCTATGTCGTTGTTCCGTGGTCCTTGCATGGGACCCGACCGATCCAAATTTTATGGTAGTCGTTCTCATAAAGAGTCATAAATCTGTTAATTGATTTCCAACTGACACGTTTCCACAGATCCACGATGATGAAATTAATACAAAGGGAACGGCATCACTGTATCGTAGTTGGTAATGGAAAAGTGGCATGGATCCAGCGATATCATGAAAGGTTTGGTAGAAGCGAACGGAGCATAGGGAATCGTTCCTTTAGAGCAGGGGTGATCATAGCGAGTATATGGGGTTGTAAAGTCGGTCTTTACGAGCTTGCACTTTGAAGGTATCGAACACGAACTTTTAATAACGCGTGGTTCGTTGTTACGCCGAAGAAGGATATGTTTGGTGAAAACGTAACGTCAATTCACCAACTGTACGTGTACAGAGGACGTTGCGTCGTCGCCATTTTGAATCCCATGTGAAGTCGTGCGTCTCGGCCATCTGACGCGTGACACTTACAACTTGCAACTGCCTGTTCTCATAGTTACTTCTCCTTTTTAAGGGGTCTTTTATAAATAGTGTCCCTTTCTTTCTCTACTTTACAAAACACGCATTTGTCAAGTGAGTACGTTGAAAAGCATTTAGTAAAAACCCGTGAACTTCATTGAGAATATTTCTACTTTTAATAGATAATAAGAGTCTTTTTCATACTAGCATGATGCGCCGTAGAGATAGTAACTTCTACGTTTGTTTTACCGAATAAGCATGTCAGAGTAGATTCTATTTACGAAACAGAGCTTTTATCACATCACATCATGAATTCCAGGTAACCCATGCGACACGAAATATATGGAATATTTTAAAGCGGACCGCGAGCAGAATTTATTCGCTCGTGATAATATTTTACAAGCGAGATAATTTCTGTATCGAGTAATTAGTAGTTCCGTGCGTGCAAAGGGACTTGTGAAATACAAGAGAGAAAAAGGCATAGTAAGTGGCGTAGTATGGGAGAAGTAACGTACGATCTTCATAGGCAGCTAGCCTGAGTTTAATCTGTCAATAAAATCAGAGCATGGTTCTTAACGTACAGCAAGCGTTTGATCGATTGTAGTAGAGATTAATGTTCAGAACTAGATCGTGCAAGATCTAGTTGATTACTTAGCAAGAAACATTAATTCTTCGAATAACATACACGATTTCTACAAAGATAACACTCCTGATAATAGGACGGATTTAATGCTTTTTTTTAATGCTTCCGTCTTCGTGTACATGTTTCTTCCAGCGTGTTCCAACCATCGTCGTACGATGCTGCCGATCGGTGCGGCACGTTAGCATAATGCAATTAGGAG